AATATGACCAAATATACTTCTATAGTAATCCGTATAAACAAATAAGTGAGAAATTGTATGTTGTGTACATTTACAAAAAACATACCTACAAAACTCATTAATATATTTTGGACTTTCATTTTTTTCTAATAAGTTAATTAAAAATGAAACATTATTATATTATTATGGTAAATTTCTTAAATTTCGCATTTGAATGAATAATTTTACAATGATCAAATTTATGAATGAAGTTTAACATAAAATAAATATACTGAAACCATGCTAAAATAATAAAATATAGTCTTTTTTAAATTAAATCCGCAGTATATTTATCTGAATATCTATCGATTAGTTGCAATTATAATACTCTACTGTGTAGAAAATAAAGACAAGATAGAGAGACCAAAAATGAGTGAGAAAATGTGTAATAGAATGAGAGAGAAGTGACGTCTATCCGTAGTTATCGGTTAATTGATGACTCTCATATTGACCGCGAGGCACTTTCATGACAATGAGAATGAGCCTGATCGCATTAGTGTCTCCGATGAAAAAAGTTGACTGACTATTATTGTTAACAGTAACCGGTGAGATTGACCCGCGAGGGCAAGTGTTCAATTGTGTGATCTCACCTTTGATCTACCCTCTTCTTCAGTGCTTGATCACGTCAATGTCGGATAGATATCCTCTGATAAATTTAACGAGCATTCTAGATTGACACCGAATAATCGAATATTTAGAAGCTGACAATAATTGAAAATTAAATTACAATAAGAATGTGAGACTACAATTTTCATACTTAATCACGATTTGCTTATTTTGAATGAAAATGTAAAAAATTATACGGTCTTATGGTTGTTATATATTACGTATGTTTATTCGATAATTTATTAAAAAAATAATAAACTACTCATCGTTGTACTATTCCATTCGACCGAGATTCCTGAGATTGGCAAATAAAATAATAATATTGCACTTTCAATATTACTCAATGATTGTAATTTTACTGTAATTTTTTTTTTTTTTAATTTTATGACCAAATAACAAATTTCCAATAACAACCAGTGTTTAACAAATACGTAATTTTTCCTTGCCACGTATCTATATATATATACATTATATTATTATTTATATTCATTAGTAATACGTTTCTTATAAACAATTTGTTTACACATAAAATTAATATACACATTGCAATTCGCATTTTTCTTGGAATATTCTGACTAAGTTACAAAAGGATTTTTGAAAATAAGAATGAAAATATACAACATTTAAAATCATAAATCAAATCAATAATAAACCATATACTTACCTAATTTTAATAGAAAACAATATTAATATAGTTTGAAGCTTATAAAAAATATCTTTTATAATATTATATATATATTAATTTCACATATTTATAAATGTATAATAATAATCATCTATTAGTCTATGTATTTACATTTTGTATTTTATGAAAAATATACCTAATTTTATCCATTATACTTATAACTAAAAATATTAAATCGTACATAATAATTTATATACAAGTATAAATATATAAATATTGTAAAATAATTTTTTGTCTATACCGTCATGTTTACCGCAATAATATTTAAATTTTACCTATGAATTCTGAACTTTCAAAAATTTCGTTTTTTGTTTTATATGAATCCTATCGGCAAATATGGAGAGGAATTCAATAGCCTATAAATTTTTGAGCGTGAAGTTTGGCTCTAGATCATTTTTATCCGTGGCTCTTTATTTAATGGTTTTACGCGTTATGAAGAAACTAGAAATCCCAATTTCCACGTGTTACCTCCTTCGTATATTACATTTATTTTTTCCCAGTTCAAGGTTTCAAGCTACGACGGCACATGTGACAAGACAATAATATAATGATTATTATAAGCATAACGCGACTCGTGTAAACAAGAAGAAGCGGGTAATGGAGCATCCGGAGCCTTATCTTCGGGTCCCCACATTATATATTATAATATATATAATATACTCAATACTGGATAGCGTCCTAAGTGAAAAACGAAAGACACGTACCTCCTATATGCATGTACCAGGTAGGTTCTATTAATAACAGATATGTATGTATGTGTGTGTGTGTGTGTGTGTGTGTTCTCCTGTTAGATATTCCGTAAGTAAACACACACTCACACTCGCATACACATAAAACGACAAACCCCGGTTAATTGCCTACAGTTTACTTAATAATCACTAGATTCCTCTTCCCGTCTCCGTTCGTCTAGCTTGTTACACAGCGTACTGCGCGTAGTCACCAGGAGACCGAGAGGGGAAAAAGTTTGGAATGTTCTCATAATAATATTATGATACCTATATTATATGCGATGTATGCTTATCGGCCTAAAGCAGTGTGATGGATTTTCAAAAGGAATTCATTAATATATTGTCGTAAACGTGGCCACTTAGAGCACGCGCGCGTGTTCGTATTCCCTATTTCAGCGACGGACAGATTACTATATAGTACTCATATACTATTATACAGCTATACGGTCAGTTGAACTCTTTTGGTCAGTTGATCCGTACGGGCGCGAGATTGGGGCACCGCGTACAGGCTAAATTACAGAGTTCAACAAAACTCGAATGTCTTTTTCAAGATGGTTATTTACTTACTATATTATTATTATTATTATTATTGTTATTATTACTATTACTATTATTGTTATTATTTTTGTCATTCAGGTGAGAAAATTGTTGACTATGACCCACAAAACATAACATAGGGAGTGTTGATATAAACAGAAATAAGCGACCGTGCGCACGCGCGCACTCACGTATGTGTTAACGAGTGTGGTAATTGCGGTGAAAGTGAATTAAACAATAGTTCGTAATTTAAGAGTTTCAAAAGTTCTCTATTATTATACATTTTAAATTTTCCAATCACTATATTATATTATATTATAAGGGATATCCGTATTACTGTTGATATTGCATATAGATACATATTATACATAGAGGTCTGTTGTGTTTACTAAATAATTTTTAACTCGTTAACTAAAGTATTCAAACCAGTAAAATTTCGATAATATATATATATATAAACATGATCATAATATGATAATTTGTTTTTACTTAACGTAAATATTTTACTAAACATACACGATCGGTCGCTTACAAAATAAAATTTATAGATGTATAATAATAAAAAAAAGTTTTTTTTTTAAGCATTATTAATGGTAAGATTAGGTATAATAAATTATTGAATAGTAACATAGACACATAGTGTTTTGATTTAGAAAAAGCTCGATTTTATGAATCATTGAATTTTGAAAAAAATTAATTCAAATTTATATAAGTTAAGTTAATACATTTAAAGTGTAAAATTTTATGTCAATATTATATATTAATTATGTCGGCGTTTAGAGTTTAACGATTAAACGGTTCAACGATAACAGAAAACGGTTTTATCATCTGTTGTCGAAATTAAATTAATTTTAGTTTGCAGAAATTGATTACTCGCGATTAATTTATACAAGTTTTTTAAATTTTATAAAAAAACACAACCTACTGATAAAATTAATTAGTTTTTAGGCGTTTTACTGGATAAAAAAAAATAATTATTATTATAATAACAACATTTTCTCGGCCGTTAATCATATAGATAAGTGTTTTTTCTCGTTCACTTGGCCGGTTGGCGCCTTAATTAACGCATAACAATTTCGTATTATTTTTAACTTGTGTTTTAATTACAAACCAGCCCCTTAGACGGTTTTTAATCACCGGTCAGCGCGCGCGTACACACCCACCCTCTTCGAATACCAATAAATTGACCGACAATCGACCTCGACAGGTTTACATGACGGGTCATTTTATAAGAAAATTGAAAAATTATAAAACATTGTAATTTCCTTTATGATTAATGCTACTATCGATTTACTTTTTTCTCATCACTTTACACATTTTACTCCAGTTATATCCCTTAAAAATCCCCGAATTTACCATGAAAAAAATTATTATTCTTGGAATGTAATCGAAAAAAATAATATGATTTAGTAAATATCTATTATATTTTTTATTTTAAGTTTTTATTTTCCCATTCAAATGTGTGAAAAAAAAATATCAGTTGTCTTACATATCCATGTTAAAATATATTATTTTTGTATTCAAACAATGTGCTATAAAATATTACTTGGTTGATCGGATAATGTAATTGTTTTTATATATTTATATTATGTAGAAATAATATACACAAATCATTTGAAAAACAATTTAAATACCAAAAAATTTGAATACACTTCTGGCGGCGCCTCGGATGACTAGCGAATGGGATTTATATATTGTTAGATTTAATCATCGTGACTAGATAAAAATATTACAGTGAACAAAATACGTGTAAAAAAAATGCGTGTGTGAATGTGATTCTAACTCAGATTTACACATTATTTTTTTTTTTATTATATGTAAATTAGATAAAAAAACGCCTACTATGGGCGATTTGTACACGCGGTTTGAGCTGTTGCCGAATTATTTATTCATCCGAATAAGGCAACGCCGGGTCGTTTTCACACGTTTTTATCCAAAGGTTTAACATTTAAAAATACAAATACAAATAATAACAATTATAATAATAATAAATATAAATAAACCGTTAAAATATATTATTTATCTAATAGTTATAGATGTTAACTTACGAATGTATTACTATAACGTAAACGTAGGTACAGACGCGCAGTTGATCGATTGCGCGCATAAATCAATTGACCACACGTACGACGATCATAGTTATAACTTATAATAATTTTAATAACAAAAATAATAATAGTAACAATAATAATCAAAATAATAATATTGCCTGTACAGTAGATACGTGTTTTGTATTCTAGATATGGGGTAACAAGCGTGGCGGGAAAATCATGGGCACGAAATACCTATCGGAAAATCGAAGCGGTAAAAACTCGACGGACGTATGAAATTCGCATACAACACAAGTACGCGTACAATTGAAATTATATTATGATATTTGGGTAATAATAATACGATGACAATAAATACTTAATGTATATACTCACGTAAGTGGTTGAACGCGACTCATGCAGCAGGTGAGGATTCAGGTGCGTAGCGGCGGCGTCGTCGTCGTCGGCCACACACCATGTCTGCACGGATAGACCTGCCGTCGACCTTTGGCCGGTTTTCCCTCCGTCCGTGCCAGCGGCGGTGGGCTTCTACCGAGCTTTTCTCGTACACGCGAGATTTTCAGACGATCACACTGCTATATTCGCTTGCGGTAAGCGATGAGATAGTCGGTGTACAGTACTATCGTCAGTATAATTCGTTCTCTCCGGGTGTATGTCGCGAATCTGCGATTGTAATATTATTATTAAAATCTCTGACGATCTGTAGAAGATCGGACGCGAACAAATCTGCGGCGAACGTTTGTGCGATGATTAATGTACACGGATCAAACGAACGAATTAAAAAAAAAAAAAAGTAAAAAAAAAAAAATTGATCTTTATTATACGAGCGATAATATAAAATATAAAAAACGATTGTCAGTTGCGGATCGCAACGGTAATTTCCGCGGCAGTGTTATGTAATACTAATAACAATTATTGCCGATTTACCGTTTGGTCCGAACGACCGGCGCGCACCGTTTTGCCGGCCGGTCGAGCGACAGCGTCGGCGACGGCGACGGACCGATCATAGTGACCCGCCGGACTTCGCGAGATCGCGATCGTTTTGGCCGCGTGGGCGGAACCAAAAAGAGACGAAATTTTTTTTTAAAAACTACATGTATAGTTAAAAAACGATGAGAGCAAAAGACAAAAAAAATAAAAAATAAAAAAATTCGCCAACGGTTTTCGACTCGGCGGTGCCAAACGGACGAGTACGATTGTCGGAGTTTTTCCGCGGGGCGGACCCGGATCGGGGAGCGATCGAGCGGGATCAACGAGACGTAGACGGGAGAGCTGCGTATGAACGACGGCCGAACGCAGACTGATCAAATCCAACGGTCGCGTCGCGGACCCGGCACACCGCGCGCGCCACACACACACACACATGGACATATACACACACGCGCGCGCGCACACACACGTATACACACACACATGCATACACACGCACGCCACACACACGCGGGGCATGTCGCCGCGGCGCCGCGCCAACCCGTCCAGCTCGCCTGCCCAGATCCGTCGGTGCGAGTGCGCGCGCCCCCCGCCCGCCCGATCGACAGTCCGCCCGCCCGCTTGTGCGTTATCCGACGCGCCGGCGGCGGTCGTCGTTCTTTTCCGTTTAGTTTTCGTCTTTACGTTTGTTGTTGTGCCGCCGCCGCGTGTCCAAGCTTGCACGAAACTTACGCAGCGACACATCACGGGGGGAAGAACACGGGAATGTCCTCATTCGCACCTATATTTCAGCCTTATAAATTATGGGACTTGGAAACGCGCTGTCATAATAATACGCACGTATAATTACCGAATTATTTCAATCGATTTGCAATCGTTGTTTTATTTTATTTCTTAGATTTACCAAAGTTACATTGACATTTATTACAATAACCGATGTTTTCAAATTTGTTTAGGGTACATTTAGTTTTTATAAGATTATAAAATATTAATATAGGTAATTTTACACGTCATGCCATCAACGTATTCGGTTTATTATAATTCGTTTAGTTTTATAAAACAAGTTAATTACTATAAGGTTTTCGAAGTCAATTATTGAAGTTAAAGATCAAAACCTAAGTGTCTTAAAATATATTTGTAAAATTATCAAATAAACACTATAACCTAAAATATACTATTTATTTAAAATGAAACTCGTTCAATTTAATGTCGCTGGATGACAAA